CGCAAGATGACACAGTAGCATGATATTTTTCTTTCTGTTCATGCCATCTCGTGTTGTGTGCTGATACCAGTATACAATAATAATAATAATAATAATAATGATAATAATCTTTATTTCTACAAGTACATGTACAATGTATACAGGACTAATTGTTAACAAGAAATTATCCCAATGGAAATAAGTCACTTTGTCTGACTCTTGTTTGGGTTATCCTTGGTTCTCTGCACACATGCTGCTATGAATGATAATCTATGTAACTGTATTTGTGTACACCTGAATAAACTTACAAAAAATTGAAAAGTTTTAAGAGTGAAATGTATTCATTTTGACAAGTAAATAGTGTTACTGTATTTAACAATGTAAAGCATTATTAATGGTTAACTGTGCATTTTTTCAGACATTTGTATTTAGAGTACAGTGAAGTATACTATATACCTAGAGTATACATGGAGAGGGCTTCAGAGGTCGATGCCCCTGCAACCCAGTCTGTGATCAGGCCTCACTGTATGTTAAGAAAATATCTTTACGGTTATTTAACCCAGAAGGGTTATTAACTCATGATAATCCATTTTTTTTTATACAACCTGTACTCTAGTACACCTTGCTTCTACAGTGGACCCTCAACCAACGATATTAATCCGTTCCTGAGAGCTCATCGTTAATCGAAATTATCATTAGTCGAGTTAATATTCCCCATAAGAAATAATGGAAATCAAATTAATCCGTGCAAGACACCCAAAAGTATTGAAAAAAAAAAATTTTACCACATGAAATATTAATTTTAATACACACAAACTGAAGACATGTACAATTACATGACACTTACCTTTATTGAAGATCTGGTGATGATTGATGGGATGGGAGGAGAGGAGACTGTGGATGGTGTTAGTGTTTAGAAGGGGAATCCCCTTCCATTAGGACATGAGGTGTCAAGTCCTTTTCCGGGGTTACTTCCCTTCTTCTTTTAATGCCACTAGGACCAGCTTGAGAGTCACTGGACCTCTGTCGCACAACATATCTTTCCAAAGAGGTCTGTACCTCCTGTTCCTTTATGACATTCCTAAAGTGTTTCACAACATTGTCAGTGTCACAATTAAATACTTGTTCAGGTTTCAATTCTTCACTGTCTATGTACTCCTTGAATTCCTGCACATATTTTTCAGCTGCTTTTTGGTCCAAACTGGCAGCCTCACCATGCCTTATCACACTATGTATGCCACTACGACTCTTAAATCTCTCAAACCAACCTTTGCTGGCCTTAAATTCACTCACATCACCACTAGTTGCAGGCATTTTTCTAATTAAATCCTCGTGCAACTTCCTAGCCTTTATCTGTTTTTCGTTTATCCACACCAATAACAGTCTCTCAACATCATCTATCACTTGCGATCTCAGTTTCGAAAACATAGTTGCAACTTTGGCAAGAACAGCTTCCTTGATTGCCGTTTTCTTGGCCACAATAGTAGCGATGGTTGATTGGGGTTTTGTGTACAACCTGGCCAGCTCGGAGACATGCACTCCACTTTCATACTTAGCAATGATCTCTTTCTTCATATCCATAGTAATTCTCATCCTTTTGCTGTAGGGTTGGCACTAGAAGCTTTCTTGGGGCCCATGGTGACTTATTTTGCAGGTGCAATCACTAAAAACGCTGTGATAATATGAAATGTTCCAATTGTATGTTTGGATGGGACCACTGTGGCTGGCTGGCTGGCTGGCTGGCTTGTAAACACTGGCCACAAGTGGACGCGTCTCAGATGGAACGAATCGTGTTGGTCGAGTTTTTTAGCGCTAGTCGAGGCAAAATTTTTGCGTTAAAATTGTATAGCTAGTCGGATTTAACGTTAGACGATGCCATCGTTGGTCGAGGGTCCACTGTATTGTTTTTTCTCTAGGATACACCCACAAATGCTGACTAGCCTTAGGTACCTATTTACTGCTTTGTAAACAAAAGCAGCAGGTGTACAGAGACGGTGGCCCTTGGCCTGGTGGCAAAAGCTCTCGCGTCACATGGTGAGGGTCTGGGTTCGATTCCCGGCGAGGGTTGAAACATTGGGCTTGTTTCCTTACACCGGTTGTCTGTGTTCACCCATCAGTATAAAATGGGTACCTAGGTGTTAGTCGACTTGTGTGAGTCGCATCTCGGGACAAAATTGACCTATTTTGCCTGAAATGCTCTGCATAACAAGCGGCTTTCTATACAGTAGTACGTCATTGATGACAGCTAGGCCAGTAATAAACCTTGTACATGTACTTGTAGAAATAGATATCATTATAATTATTCTACACCTTTCCCCACGATGCCCAGCCCTGCCCCAGCCAGAAAACACACCAAAACTTTTTTCAGGTAAAGGCTAACCTATTGAGCTACAGGTCACAGCATGCTGTCATCATGGGACAATATGCTGGCATAATTGTGTAATACTATACTGTGGCACACTAATTACTGAAAAACAGGTACACAAGGTCACTAGCTGGAAAATGTCTAAAGCCACAAGTTACACTTGTTGCTCTATAGGATAAATGTGTATCATTGTTTTCTGTACAATTTTTGTTCGTAAGATCATAAATGTGATCTAAGTTGGGAATGTCCTCTATTCAAAACTACTAAATAGTCTTTTTTTTTTTTTTTTTTTTTTTTTTTGGGGAGAGGGGGTCCACTGGTCATCTACCAATAAAGCAGGGTGACCCAAAGGTTATTCCCCTTCAAGGTGCATGCATTACCCTACCCATATCTTACTAAAAACTGAGAAATCTGAAAATTAGAGGGGACGGGAGTTGAATAAGTCACCAGTATGGGGTTTTACGAGATCGAACTTGCATCCCTTTTCACCTCGCTGTTTATACCAGTAACTGTCACATCTTGATAAAATATTTTATTTATCATTTTTTCCTCAAGTCGGTCGTCACCCACCAAGGGAGGGTGACCCAAAAAGAAAGAAAATTCCCCAAAAGAAAATACTTTCATCATCATTCAACACTTTCACCTCACTCATACATAATCGCTGTCTTTGTAGAGGCACTCAGGTATGACAGCTTAAAAGTCCCTCCAAACTGTCAATATCCCAAACCCCTTTAAAGTGCAGGCATTGTATTTCTCATTTCCAGGACTCATGTCTGGCTAACTAGTTTCCCTAAATCTCTTTGCTAAATATTACCCTGCTCACATTCCAACAGCTTGTCAGGTCCCAAAAACCATTCGTCTCTATTCACTCCTATCTAACACGTTCACACACGCTTGCTGGAAGTACAAGCCCCTCGCCCACAAAACCTCCTTTACCCCCTCCCTCCAACCTTTTTGAGAATGACTCCTACTCCTCCTTCCTTTCCCTACAGAATTATATGCTCTCCAATTCACTCTACTCTATCCATTCTCTCTAAATGACCAAACCACCTCAACAACCCCTCTTCAGCCCTCTGACTAATAATTTTAGTAACTCCACACCACCTAATTTCCACATTCTGAATTCTCTGCATAATATTAACACAACACACTGCCCTTAGACAGGACATCTGCACTGCCTCCAGCTGCCTCCTTGCTGCAGCATTTACAACCCAAGCTTCACACCCATATAAGAGTGTTGGTACCACTATACAGTGGACCCCTGCATAATGCTATTAATCCGTTCCTGAGAGCTCATTTATGCGAAATTATCGTTATGGGAATTAATTTTCCCCATAAGAAATACTGGAAATCAAATTAATCCGTGCAAGACACCCAAAAGTATGAAAAAAAAAAATTTTTTACCACATGAAATATTAATTTTAATACACACAAACTTAAGAAAACATGCACAGTTACATGACACTTACCTTTATTGAAGATGTGGTGATGATTGATGGGATGGGAGGAGGGGAGACTGGATGGTTTTAGTGTTTAGAAGGGGAATCCCCTTCCATTAGGACTTGAGGTGTCAAGTCCTGCCATCTGTTTTTCGTTTATCCACACCAATAACAGTCTCTCAACATCTTCTATCACTTGCGATCTCTGTTTCGAAAGCACAGTTAAACCTTTGGCAAGAACAGCTTCCTTGATTGCCGTTCTCTTGGACACAATAGAAGCGATGGTTGATTGGGGTTTACTATACAACCTGGCCAGCTCGGAGACATGCACTCCACTTTCATACTTAGCAATGATCTCTTTCTTCATCTCCATAATAATTCTCACCCTTATTCTTGTAGGGTTGGCACTAGAAGCTTTCTTGGGGCCCATGGTCACTTATTTTTCAGGTGAAATCACTATAAAAAGGCTGTAATAATACGAAATGTTCCAATTGTATGCTTGAATGTTACCGCGGAGGCTGACTTGTAAACATTGCCACTGGCAGAACAAGTGAGGCTGGCTCAGGTCGCATGGACGTGTCTCGGACGAATCGCGTTGAGCGAATTTTTTAGCACTATGCGAGGCAAAATTTCTGATAAAATGTATCGCTATGCGGATTTAACACTTTGCGATGCCAACGTTATGCAGGGGTCCACTGTACTTTCATACATTCCCTTCTTTGCTTCCATAAATAACGTTTTTTGTCTCCACAGATACCTTAATGCACCACTCACCTTTTTTCCTTCATCAATTCTATGGTTAACCTCATCCTTCATAAACTTATTCGCTGACAAGTCAGCTCCCAAATATCTCTTATAAAACATCTATTATGAGAAGTTCTCTACACATATCTGAATAAAAAATACAGCACCTGTATATATATTAATGTCATTACACAAACATTCATTCTTTGTACAGCTACAGTGTGAGTGACCCTATATTCATATAGGGAGGGGTGTTAATGTTGCAATTTTATAACTGTAGTGTAAGTGCACCTCTGGCAAGACAGTGATGGAGTGAATGATGATGGAAGTTTTTGTGTTTTGGGCCACCCTGCCTTGGTGGGAGACGGCCGATGTGTTAATAAAAAAAAATATATGACACCTGACATTTTATTAAATTCGAAAAATTATTTATGACTGTGAAAAAGAACTAAGATAATATTTTCATTTCTTACCCAAGGCTGTGTTCGAAACGATTGTGTGCTGCAGCAGGAAAGACAAAGTAACAAGATCCCACCATCTTAAGGAACCTGAGTGAAGAGAAAATCTAGCTGCAGCTAATACTGGTACGTTCGGCTAGAATCTGAGTGGTTTAACTTGAAAATTGCTGCAGATGTAAAATTAATGTAAATAAAATGCATAATTAAGCTGTCAATATTCATGTTGGGTGTCTGCAGTGGCCTGTGAGTGAAGAGAAGCCTATGGCTTGTTCAAGTTTCCATATTTTCCCCTGAAGTAAATTTTAAAATGTTAAAGCAAAAATGGCTATTCAGGTAGATGATTTCATAGATTTATTAAATAAAACTTGGGTGAAAATGAATATCTGATATTGAAAACTGTTTAAGAATAAGAAAATAATAATAAAGCTTAAAAAATCCCTGGTACTCCTCTACACTGACTACTGTATTCAAGCAAAGAGACCTCTTACATTAAGATACAGTATTACAATACTATCTATGTTTAGATGCCCCATCAAAATTATAGAAAATTTAGAATTATAGAAATCTTGTGAAAAGATTCTAAATTTGGAGAAGCTTTGTAACTGGCATTTAAAAGTTTTACTTTTACCCAGAATTTAAATTTTGGTTACACTGTATTTTAATTCCAAATTTCAGAAAACATACCCAGAATTTAAATTTCAGTTATTCTGATTCTAAATTTCTGAAAAAAATGATCTATTCAGAATAGTTGCAGAAATTTTTGAAAATAGAAGTAAATAATTCTTGCACTTCAGAAAATTAAGAATGTCAAGCACTGAGAATTTAATACAGCATTTATTTTCTGAATTTGGAATAATTTTGAAAAACTGCAATGTCTACCATTAGAAAAAGTTCAACACTGAGTAATGAAACTCTGCATTCAATTCTGTTCATAAGGGTAACCTGAGGGCTATATAGAGTATTAAAATTAACAGAAATTGGATAAGGTAGCCCCTAATCACTTATGCAGACAGTTCAACATGATGCATAAAGGCAGCAATAATTTTGAGCTCACCAAACCATAGTGAATGACAGACGACTGGAAACTGTTCTCCCAGAGAGTAAAAAGCCTATGGAATAGTTCAAAATTACCCAGAAAAAATCTGGAACTCTGAACAAGTTATAGGCTTCCAAACCACTGAAGATGGTAAATAGCAGGTACGTGTATAAAATTTAAGCACAAAAATATGTAAGCTGACAAGAAGCTCCAAACTTTATTCACATTCTTAGCGCAGGGAGATGAAATGAATGAAAACGTGACGGCACTCGTGCGTTCTGGTACAAATATATATACCCACAGCCCAAGACAGAGGTGCTGTAATCAGGGAGTTACATTAAACTGATTCCCGCACTTCCTATTAAATTACTGTAGTATGAAAAGAGAGAAAATTTACATATGTAACTGTAAAATATGAAAGATGTGTATTATTTTGTCAGTAAGTGGAATCAATTTAAAAAAAGATGGTAAATTACAAAAACACTCAGATGGAACAAGACTGAAGTTAGAATAAAAATCAGAGAAATCACCCATTGTTAATCTGTACACATATGGAATTAAACCCTTACACAAAAGCAAGAAAAAATATTTTGTTAAAAAAACCATGTTAGACAAGCAGCGTAAACATTCAAGTTTGAAAAGTTCATATAAAAAACTTTTTATCCCAATATTACTGTATATGACTTTTACTGCATATACAGTAATATACAGTACTTAGTGGTTTATGCTTCTTTTTATAAAAATAAAAATACATCAGTCTGTATAAGTTTAAGAGTAGGTAAGATTTTTTTTTATGGCAAAACTTTTAAATTCCATAAATTTTTTCCATGTATTAAAAAACTTACCCAAAGGGGAAAGTTCAAAGCGTTGTGAGCAGCAGAGGGATAAGAAGTAAGGGGTTCCCCAAAACTGCTTAAGGAATCTGAAGGTATTATTTTAAAGTGCATTCAACCCAGATGGCACATTTGGAAAATGCTCAGTGCATAAAAAAAAAACAAAAAAAAGGGGTTTTAAATACTGTATGGGAATTAGAAACTGAGCTTAAACTTTTAAAAAATAAAAATCCTTAATTAAGCACAACACCTCTTTCCAAAAATGAGGAAAAACAAAATACACCTTTTTTCACGGTACTAAAATTTTATAATGTTTTATTTTAAATCTGCAAAAGAAATAGGAAATAAGAATGTGGGAACACTGCAAAGGCCTACTGGCCCCACGGGCAGTCCTCATCAAAACGAAAACTCCCCGAGCCACTCAAGAACAACCCAGCCCCCCCCAACACCAATCAAACCCAGCCCCTCCCACTCATACATTTGTCCCCAGTCTCTTCTTAAAGCTACCCAAGGTCCCACCTCTATCCCCCCCACTGGGAAAGACTTCCACGCATCTACAACTCTTTAGAAAACCAGTACCCTATGTCCTTTTAAATCTAAATTTATCCAATTTTAAACCCATTTTCTGGTTTTACCGTTCGACACCCTCAGTACTTTATTAATGTCCCCCTTGTTTTCCCCCGTCATCCATTATAACTTAAATTTTAATCTCCCCTCATTCTACCCCTCTCCAGAGAGTGGGTTTTAAAGGGTTTTTAAGTTTTTTTATACGGGGGGTTTCCCTTACACATTTAAATATTTTATCATTCTTCTCTGTATTTTTCTCTAAGGGTCTATGTCCATCCTGTAGTAAGGGGACCAAAAGAGCAGCATAATCTAAATGGGGCCCCTCATAGGATGTATAGACTGTAAAAAAACTTTTGGATTTCTGTTTTTACTTCTTGGAAAAAATCCAATAATCTTTTGGGCCTTGTTGCGCACACTGAGGCATGCTGTCTTGGCGATTTTGTTACCATGCTCCAAGTCTTTTTACATTCTGTATGACCAAGAAATATTTCACCTGATTATAGCTTCGAGGGTTATTTTCATTCCCAAGGGCAAGTCCCTTACACTTATCCACATTAAACTTCATCTCCTTTCCAACCAAGACATTAAATTTTTTCAAACGCCCGGATTTCTTTGTACCTCCTCAGGGGAAAATTATAGGGCCTATCTTTGTTCATCACAAATTTACTCATGTCACTAGTAATCCCTTCATCAAGGCTTTAAATAAAAATTATAACAAGAAGGGCCTAAAACTGATGTTGGGAACCCCCTGTGACTATCCCCATTCTATTTCACTCCATTAAATGGTAACTCTCTGCTTTTATTGGTAAGCCATGCTCAATCCATGCTAAACTTTACCCCCTATACCATGAGCTCACTTTTCTTAAGAGTCTCTTGTGAGGTACTCTGTCGAAGGCTTTACTAAAATCAAAAAACAATTCATTTTCCCTTTATTACTGTAACTCCCCTAAAATTTTCTATTGAAGAACGTCATAAGTTTGTAGGCAGGAACGACCTCTCGTAAAATCATGCTGGATTCTTTACAAGTTTGCTCTTCAAGGTGACTTTGATAATTATTTTTTTTTTTTTTTTTTTTATCAACCGGCCGTTTCCCCCCAAAGGGCAGGGGCCCAAAAAAAAGAAAAACTTTCACATCTTTCACTCCATCACTGTCTTCCCAGAAGGGTGTTTAACTACAGTTTTTAAAACGCAACTTTAAACACCCCCCCAGAGTGAGGCACTGTACTTCCCCATCTCCAGGACTCAAGTCCCCTGCCTTTTTCCCTGAATCCCTTCAAAAAATGTTACTTTGCTCACACTCCAACGCACCAGTATTAAAAACCATTTGTCCCATTCACTCCTATCAAACACCTCACGCATGCCTGCTGGAAGTCCAACCCCTCGCACACAAAACCTCCTTTTTACCCCCTCCCCCCAAAACCCTTCCTAGGCCGACCCACCCCCCCCTTCCCCTTCCATACAACTGTACACCTTGAAGTCATTCTGTTTCGCTCCATTCTTTACATGTCCGAACCACCTCAACAACCTTCCTACCCCCGGGAAAAGTTTGGGGTAATCCCGCACCTCCCCCTAATTTCCAAAATCAAATTTCTGCATTTATTCACACCACACATTCCCCTCAGACTGACATCTCCACTGCCTCCACCCCTTTCCCTCCTGCAACTTTCATACCCCCCTTCCACCCTATAGGCGTTGGTAAAACTATACTCTCATACTTCCCCTCTTTGCCTCCAAGGACAAATTTCTTTGTCTCCACAGACCCTAATGCACCACTCACTTTTTTTCCTCATAAATTCTTGATTCACCTCATTTTTCTAGACCCATCCGCGGACACGCCCACTCCCAAATATCTAATACTTTCACCTCCCCCATACTCTCCCCCCCAATTGGATTTCAATTTTTTCATACCTAATCTTTTGTTATCCTCAAACCCTTTACTCTTTCCTGTTTCCCTTTAATTTTCTTCTTTTGCACACCTCCCAAATTACCACCAATTTTTCCAATTTCCTTCAGAATCCCCCAAGAGCACAGTGTCATCAGAAAAGAGCAGCTGTGACAACTCCCACTTTGTGTGTGTTTCTTTGTTTTTTTAAACCCCACGCCTTTTGCCAAGACCCTGCTTACTTCTCTTAAACCCCCATCTATAAATATATTAAACAACCACGGTGACATCACACTCCTTGTCTATCCTCCCTTTACGGGGAAAAAATTTCCCTTTCTTTCCTAATACTTAACTTGAGCCTCACTATCCTGTAAAAACTCTTCCTGCTTCATAACCTACCCCTACCCATCACTTGCAAATCTGCCCTTTGCCCCCTATCCACCCTGTCTATCCCTTTTTCCCAAATCCATAAATGCCAAAAAGCCCTCTTTCCCTTATCAAATTTTACTTTCACTTATTGTAGCTAAAAATTGATTCTAATAACTTCCCCCCTATAGATGTCGGGCTTTTGGAGGGTAATTTGAAGGAGGGGCTTACCCCCTGATTGAATTAGGAACCACTTACCTCTTCCACAACCTGCACAACACTGGTAAGGATGGACGCATTGAATACACTCGTTAATAGCTGACTAAGTCATCTTGCATTCCTTAAGAAACCCTTGAAAAAAACTCATCGGGTCCCGGGGATTATTTTGTTTAGTTTGTCTATCTGT